CAAAAGTTTCCATGTAGATAATGATTATAGATGGGGGGATTTATGAGGAGGGGTGCGCCCACAAATAAACACGTCTACTGTAGCCGGAGAGAGGGGCCCGATCCGGCCGGTGCCGCGGAGCTGCCCCCCGGCCCGGGGACGGGTTGCGGTGGCGAGGGCACCCCCGCACCCCGGGGGCGGGGACCGCCAGGACCGTACCCCTCCCATCCCTCCCGGACACGTCCCCAAGGGCTCGCTTGAGGAGAAAGTAGAGACACACCCCCCTCACAAACGCTAATCGGCCACAGACACCGGGGGCGGGGGGCGGAAAGGGGCTCTCGGGGGCTGGAGAAGGGGCCGCTCGGGCCAAACCCTCCCCGTCAGGATCTGTCCTTAGATATATATATATATATGTATATATATATATATATATTTATAGGTGAAGCGAATTGTACCGGGACGTTTTCGGGGGAGACGGCCCAGCCCCTCACCGCATCTCATGCTCCTTCTTCTCGCTTTCCGGGGCTGGGGTGAGGCACAGGCCGGAGGCTCGGGGGTCCCGCAGAGCCCTCTGTCCCCGCAGAGCCCTCTGTCCCGGCCCCGCACGGATCAGCGCCCTCCGTAGCCCGGCTTAAATCGGGCAGGGCCGGGCTCCCATGCCCGCCGGCAGCCCGCCCGCCGAAGGGTTAAAGGAGAAAAATTCTTGAGCCAAGGGAAGAAAAGGAGAAATAGAGAGCCCCGGCTCCAACCTTCCCCTCCTGCCTCCCCGATAAACCCTCCGCCGCTCCCCTGCCCGGGGCACCGGCAGCGCCCGGTCCCTGCGAGGCTGCGGCGTTTTTTTCCAAGGGGAAACGGAGTTGGGATGCCCCTGGAGTCAGCGAGCGTAAACGAGGGGGTTGGGAGGGGGGGGAGAAAACGCCTCGTAATTTGGCATCTGCCCCCGCGGAGTGGGGGCAGCAGACCCCGGTGACAATGGTGCCGTGAGGGGGATAAAATCCCCACCCGGCGTGATTTATCAGCCGTCTCTGACCCCTGAATAGTTGACTTAACATGGCTGGTGACACATTAGCAGGGAAATGGGACTGGCGTGATTTGTGGAGCCTATCTCACCGCCACCAGCACCACCCTGACCCTTCTTTTCGGCTGCTGGGCTCAGGAAACCCTCCAGCACCTCTGTCCCCCTCAACCCCTCCAGCATCCCCATCCCTTGCATCACCCCAATCCCCACATGCAGGTGGCCAGGTTAACCCCACCGGGACCGGCCAGAAAGACAGGGGTAGTCCTGGGCAGCCTCCTCTTTTGGCCACCAAGGGAAGGCACTGGTCATCACCGTGTTGGCAGGGGGGGCGGGGGGTGAACAGGCAAAGATCGGGAGAGATGGCCTGGGACCAGGCATAGCTGGAGGGGTGTGATGGCTGGAAACCTTTGATTTGGGGTTTTGCCTGGAGAACGGGGGTGGAGGAGGGTGGCCTGGGTTTTTTTTTTTTTTTAAGGCAAGCAGAAATTTGATTATAGCGTACGGCAGAGGTCTGTGATTTGCGGGCAGCGGATTTCATTAACTACGGCCGTTTGAGTCCCGGAAAAGCCGGCCAGGCCCGCGGGGCCGGGGATGGAGCTGACCCCGAGGGCGGGCGGCGAAAGGGGGCTCGGCC